TGCTTTCATCTTCCCTTTCTTCATCCTTCCCTCCCCCCTCCATTGCTCCAGCTGCCACTGCAGCACATTGTGGAACGACTGGAAGTGTGCTACGTAGGTGTTTATATAGCAGCTAACCGACTTTCAAGAAATGAAAGGCTTGGTTTGTCTAGGCAAGATGAGGTCCTATGAAGTTTAACACAGCGCCACTCGCCTGCTCTGACTACGTATCTTTGCTCTTTATCGTTCGCCTGGAAACTTGTTCGAAGTAATTTTCAAGTGGTGGTCGCGTAATATATTAAAATACCCAAAAACTACGTCGTTGGGATGAAGCTGCTTTTTATTCACCCCTAGAAAAAGAAAAAGAGAAAAAAGATTCCCGAAACTTTCCTATCATAGCTCTCAAACCCATAAAGGGGATTGCCGTTATCTCGTCAGCCTAATTCCGTAATCCATTGAACCAGCACCAACCGCAGAAGGCGTGCCAAAGAATCTATTCAGCAAGTGGATAGAGTAGCCCACGAGTAGCACAGATGTGCCGTCGCGGCTCGAAAGTGCGCGACAATGGCGCTAGGGTCTTACAAAGTCAGCATTTGGCGACTAATCTTAGCATTTGGACGAGATACTTCGCACTTCCTATCATGCAACGTGGATTACGATGTAGCGGATAAGATAGCCGAAAGGTAGATAGATATGATAAATGCATTGCGTTGATGCGACTTTGTTCAAAAGCACGTCCAGACACGTCCTTTCCTCGCCCTCATTATGCCGCTGTTATCTCACCAATTCTAAGTGGCGCTGTTGATGTAATTGGACCAAAAAGTATTCCTAAGAGCCAACAAAATAAACTATGAACATGAACTGGAGCTTACTCAAAAGCTTCAAAAATAGACATTTTCGCCGCTTGACTAAACAGGCACTTCCTCATCATTGATACGAAAAGGCTGTCACCAGCAGGCAATGTACACACAACAGAACACTATGTGAACATTTACAGAGAAATTCCCAATAAACATATAATACAAGAAACTTCGAACTAGATCATAGTGAGCATCAGAGTTCTCATCAACATTCTTCTACCATCAATTAGATTGATGGGAAAGCTGATGGCTGACAATAGGGCGACATTCTTGATATGGAAAATGCCGAGAATTCATGCGGGAAGCTCTCTAATTAATGGCACTCTGTAGAAAAATCTATAACAAATGGCGGTTATAACTGGGTCTCTAAATGATGAGCAACGTTTTTCTAAACAGGACATGAAATCCATGAAATGAGGTACAACGAAAGCATCGGAGCACGAGGCAATGAAACATTAAATAGCCTCGCCATGGGTTTATATAGTGAGCCAAGGTCATTTACTATTTTGTACATATATGGGTTACATAGAGCTCTAATACACAGAGAAACTTACAACAGGCAATAAAGGAACTATGTTTCGCATTAAAAGCTCGAAATACCGTCTGGAAGCAGAATAAAGGCCAGTTCCCTGAGATATCCACATTGGACCCACATTGGACCGATTGTACAGATTTTTGAAAGCTAACTTTGTCAACATGTCAGAACCTCAAGTTCAACAAATGCATCGTGAAAATAGCACTTTATGAGAGGTGGGTGCGCTACTATCAAGAGTAAGTATCACTCTACCATGTCAAAGTATAGCTATCAAAACCCCTTTGTTGTAATAACGCCGCAAGCATGCCTTGCAGCGATGTTCCACTGGGCAATCTAATATACCGCGCAGATAGCAGATATCTCTATACAATCACAGGCACTAGTATATTATGGGATTTGCAAGAACTTGCTTCAACGTCTTGTGGATTGCACACGAAGTCCTGTGAGAATGCCCTCCAGTCGGTCCACCTTTACCAACAAATCTTTAACAATCCTGTTCACACAGCTAGCAAAGCCTTTGCCATCTGCACCAGCGACCGACAAAGGCGTCATCGAGATCTGAAACATTAAAACAATCACAAGAGGGTGTGTGATGGGCAAAATATCCGCAATCGGAAGCGAAGCCGGCACTACTCGCTTTCGGGGTGTTATGCTACCGACCCACTGCGGCACCCTTTCACCTTAAATTTGCTTTCGAGGGCATATGTAACACACACGTACGTATAAGATGAGGCGATTAGCCGATACCGCCAGTGAAGCGAAGAACGGCAGCACAAAAATAAACATCAAAAAATGTAGCGAAAGCAGCAATTTCTAATCGATGAATAATCAAATTTAGGTAATATAAAAAGTAGTATACTGCACTCGCAATGCTCTCTGCTCAGTTGTGCTACACCGATCTCAACGCCATCCTAGCATTTGCACCTCTTCCAAAAATTGAGAACAAAATCTCAGCTTTCCCCGTAGAACGAGTAAACCACTAACCAGCTTTGAACTTCCCATGGAACTTTGAAAGGAGACCTAGATGACTCCATAGAGTCTTGAACGCTGATTACAAATATGGACATTAAAACTGCTACGTGAACTTTATAAGAAAGTTACGAGCATTCAAAGTTGGCAAAAAACGTTACTGAGGTAGGCTTACCTGATGGAATCACGCTCGCCGTGGCTCTGCGCTAAAAACGAGTATCAAATTCGTAATCAGGGCACCCACTAACCCTTATAGAACAAGAAACCAGACAAAAAGCATCCGTGATTTCATCAGGTGAGCTCGCCTCAGTAACGTTTTTTGCAACTTTGAATGCTCGTAACTTTCTTATAAGTTCTACTCGTTAGCCTGTGTTCAATATGTCCTATTTTAGTACTCAGCGTCTCGGAAAAATCGTATCCGAGTTCATTTAGGGTCTGCTTCAGTTCCAATGGGAGCAAACAGGAGAGTCAGTATTCAAAGCACAATCCCTGGGTAATTCGTCACGCATCGCACGCGATCGCGGCCTTTAACGAGGGGAATGTTCAATGCGCGACAATTGAGTAAGTTGCCATCCTGATTGCGCATCAAGGGCACATCCGATGCGATGTCAAGTAAGCAGATTTACAACGCAGCTCGCTGATCCTATGACTGTTCAAGCACTGGGAACCAAAACAAAATGCTAATCCAAATTGACCTATGTGAGAGACTTTGCACGTTTGAATAATGGAGAGAGCTGTTGTGTTCCTGACGACTTTTGAAACAAGTGTTAGAAATTGTAAAATGTTCAAATAGAGTGAAAAGTATAAGATAGAAAAAGACTTACCTCAGAGCCCGTGTTTCCATTAGAATCCTTTGGCGATATTTTAACAACAGAAACTCCGTTACTTTTCTCGGAGATGACGGCAGCTGACACAATAGAGGGAGTGATATCTTCCAGACCGGGTTTCTGTTGCTCTATAGGTGTCGGTTCTTCCGGAGTGTCATCGACGCGTTCTGCTCTTAGGGGTCCAACCATGAGAAGGGGACGGTCGGCAGCACGCATCTCCTCCCTGATGTAACAGAAAAGCATGTAGAGAACCCCAATATTATTACTTCATACAGTTTCCATACGTCTGATTCTGTGTATTAGAAGCAGCACACTACTAGTATACACAACATTAAAACATTACTTTAGCAAAGCATCACAAATGACACATACTAACCGTAACCGATACATTTCCTCCGCAGTTGTCTGTTTCTCGGCTAGTTCATTTTCCAGAAGAGTGAGCCTCTCGGTCATTTCATTCACCTTAGAATAGTAGAATTACAAGTATAGCCCAACTTCTGTGAACTCTTTAGAAGAAAGATTACCAACTTTGCGCTCTAAATCGGCAACTTCTTGCTGATTGTTCCTTTCATGCCGTTCCAGGTCATCATTCCTCTGCTCCAATTCACGAATGCGCGCACGGTTGCCTTCCTGTTCAGTGCGGAGGATCTTAACCTGAAACAAAAGGAATCACAACGCTGTGTTCTTATTGCGTCTTCAACTATGCAATTCAGCTCCAAAAAGTTCAGCTGTCAGTTGCTACGTCATAAATTCAACAAGCTTGCCATACTACCATAATTTGGAATACTAATTCTATCAATCCCACTTCAACACCTATCACAACTTAATCCATCTCAGGCACTCGCTAGACCTAGCGACTAATCACTAGCGATTGGTCGCAAAGTCTAACAACTGTCTTAAAGATAGTAGTTACGCTAACTTGAAGTGAACAAAAGTTCCACAGAAAGGTCATACACAGAAAATGTCGATAAGAGCTGAGATAAAGAACGGATGCACGAGCGTAACACCATGGAAGATGCGATGCGGTAGAACAAGAAGACACTTCTTTACGGTGCCCTATTACGCCGGTGGTGAGGCGCCACTGCCAGCGCCGTCGCCCTGGAAACCCCCACCAACGCCTAATACTCGCTCTCCTTCTACTCCAGTTAAAGCATTTTTTCCATTCGAATGATGCACTACCGCTTCCCATATGATGCATAATTTTACAATTCTATTCTTATCGCTCCCCTTTTTAAAACACATTAATTTAAATCTCTCGAAATGATTCACTGTCCGAAACAAAGAAACCTTTCTTCAGAAATATACCCATTCAACATTGTGTTCGCACTGAATGGCCTCCAACTTTATGCTTTCTTTGCATTCGTATTATATTATAGGGGTAATCCAGGAATCACAATTCATAATAAGTCTCTGACCCATATTTCATATTCATCTCAGTAAAATCAATGGATAACATACAGAGAGAAACTAAAAAACAAAAAAAGCACAGAGCCGCTGAATTGAATAAAGCGTTCCATGTTCAGAAGTTCAGAGTCTAAATTTCGATAGGCTGAGTTGTAAGAACATGCCGTAGCCCACAAGTTTGTGGGAAAAAGGTACACAGGAATCATCTCTATGCAAGATTAGCTTGAAAAACTTGACTACAATAAAGATGCCAGAGAGATAGCCGAACTAACGTTTTGCAATATTTCTCCTATCGAACGAGTCTTCGGAGAAATTGCCATTAAAAATATCTTGAAGTTGTAGTATACAGGAGGGCTAAAAAAAGTCATTCTCCTCCACGTTCAAAACAGATTTGGTTACACTTTACCGAAAGCAAACCTGAATGAACTCAACTGCATATTCAAAAACACTTTTCTAAAACTCTCCATCCAAAAAATTTAAAATAAGCCTCCCACATGTCAGCGACGGTCGTCACAGTCAACGATTTTTCGCGGGGAAATATCGGTGCACGCTACGTGAGCTCAAACGAGGTCGTACGAGTAATATTGTCATCTGTCTCTGAAAGCTGTCAGAAGCTACTTTTACCATATCACCAGCTTCACTTTATTCCCGATTTGAAAATATTAATTCAGGTCAGTTTTGCAGAATGAATACGATTATGGAGCTCCTTGAGGCGACGGTCTATGAAGAATGACTGTTCATATCTTAATCTGTAGAAGGCTGCAAAGTGTGCCGCCGCTTCTGCAATCATGGGGATACATCAAGGAACATATGAGCAAGTAAAACTCTCCAATAACAGCGTTCATCCCCTTCTAGCGCTCGTACACAAAAGTTTCATGATATCGCCATGGCAAAGTACTGTTTTCGCATTCGCCTGTATTATTGAACATTGTATTTGCTCTGTACCGTCTTTACTATTCGAAACACAACCAAATTATTACTTAGTTACTGTCAAGCGACCAATAGAAATGATGTAAAAAAGTGACCCCTCGAGCACTTGAGTTCATCAACCCTTGCCACACCAAACGGTGAGCTGCTTATCCTGCTTCAACAAAAGCTTTGCGTGGCGTACCAACATGGCTGTTCTAATGAATACCCTCTTTTCTGGACAATATCATGTTTGTCGTAACACAATGCAAGAAGACTATGCAGGCTTCTTACAATTTTATCGAAAACTTCTATGTCTTAATTTATTCCCGGTAATTGCTCAACCACAACACCACAAAGATAGTTAGGCACCTATTTCAATAAAAAGGTTGAGGCACTACAGCATAGAGCACCCATATACATTTTACAACAAGCATTTTCTTTCATCATAAAGGATTAGGTTTTTTTATGAGATTTGAAATAGGGGCATGGGAGTTCTCTTGGCCCATCCATTTTCCTAGGCTCAGTCTTCAAGAAATTTTCATACTCCGACCTTCACAACGCTCGACCCCATCGTGCCATACTAAACTACATACCAAAGATATTTAACAGAGAAATTACGCCACTGATGGTTTGACGTAACGTTTAAGCGCCTTCCATTTAGCGAATGGATTTAAGGGCCATATTGCTCTCCACTGGTCCCCTCCAAGTTAAACTGCACTCTGACATCTTTCCCTAGAGCCTCCGCCTCAATTGAAAAATTGCCACAGGCAGCGTCGCGATAGTTTTATGGCACAGAAGTTCATAGGTATGGACAACTACGATGTCCGTCAAGGATAACAAAGCACCCCAGACGCTGTGCAAATAACCCCCACCCACGGAGTTATGTAAATGGCGCACCACAATGAACAGCTGCATGTTGAATCGGTATCGTAAGATTCTACAGTCAGCTGAAAAAGAGACGTTTACTCAACACTTCTAATTCGATCAAACGAATCTATGCCACAGACGCCACCACCAAGAACTCTCTCCGACTGACATAGAGGTCAGTTCGAAAAATTGCAGTGAACTATTACATCACAAAAACGAAATAAAACGCTCGCTCCTAGTTTCATGTCGAGACGTTATTGACAGCCTGTGAAATTGGGGTCTACCAAGAGAACTGGTATAACGAATAGGTTTCGGAGCCGTACTTAGTGCAACAGAAAAAAAACTGAAACAAATGCCCAATAGGTGTAAAGAAACACTAAATACCTCGCGCGTAAAGCCCCTTCGATTTGAGAACAACTCCTCTCGTTTTCTGCCCTCTTTTGCTACTGCAAATACGACACCGTATATTCATGGCACTTGTATACCGACACAATTAAACATTTGTGCGAGACAATCTTGGTCGCTAGAACCAGCGTGCGCTTTTTGTCTCACTATTCGCAAAGGAATCGTATTCGCTTTCGTATACAGTGTGCACTCATTCAACGACATCATTAACACAAGATTATTTTGCAATACAAGTGCAGCTTTCAAAAATAAGGAAATAAAAGGCTTGCGAACTGATTAATGCGCTTATATTATACATCAAAGAATGAAGAAGGAAATCCAACCACATAACACCAAAAACAAACATTGGACGACTGGACGATAAACCGGGTTGAGGTTTTCTCAACAGCTCTTTGACTATGGCAGATCTTCACCCCCTCACATCCGCCGTCACGTACAACAAAGGATACGGTAAGTACATGTGTACCACTGAGAATTAAAGAGAAAACGAAAAAGTTTGGGCCTGCATTGCAAAGAACTACGTACGTGTGCACGCTCAGCCTCCACTTTCAACTGGTGGAGTTTAGCAGCAGTTGCTTTAGCCTCGCGCTGTGCATCTTCTATTTCACGCTCCATAATCGTCTCCATTTCCAGGCTGCTCGCTTTGTACTCCTCGAAGTCTTTAGTATCTTTCTCATGAAGGCTCTGAACAGAATATGGACCAACAAGCACGCTTTCGATAGGATTCCGTAAAACGCAACACTCGCAGATACTCAAATAGAGTTCAATCTCACCTTCAGATGAAGCAACCGTTCTATTAGTTGATCTGTGGTAAGTTTTCTTAATGATATGACATCGTCAGCTTCAAAACCACCGGGCACCATCTTCTAAAAACAGCTTTTGAATATCCAAAGGAAAATTGCAAGTTATTCGCTTATGGCAGCGAAATTTCCAACAGAAAATCGTGCTAAGAACTGAGATCCGCACAAACGAAGATCGGGCCTCGTCCGGTAAAGGGAGGGGAGAAAGGAACAATGCGTTGCGACAATTCATATCTTCCAGAGTAATTGGGCGCTATTCATCTTCAAGGGAGAAGTTTCGGGCGTAATGGCTGAGATGTTGGCATGGGGACGGGATGGGCAAATGTTGGCAGGATCGTCGCAGAAGCCCATATGGGGAAACGGTCCGCACTTGCTTTTTGCAGCTTTGCTATATTATTCAATCGCTGCTGTTAATGTAAATAAATAGGTGTTATGTCGAAATACAATCAAAACAATAGAGATGGAAAACAAGCTGCAAAATCCAGGTGCGACCCTTTGCCCTGGTTTCGACCGAACCTGCCTCTAAACATGTGATCCGCTCCCCTACCCAACATTCAGCATACGGCCCCTAAGGGGAGGGTGTAAAAGCGAAGCAAAGCGGTCCACCCAAACCGGGTTTTCCTCCCTTCCAAAAATGAAATTTTTGGCGGGGTGCCGCAGGTAATAATCGTGCGCAGCGCATTCCCCCCTTATCAATGAACCGCCTCGCGAAGATCTTCTGAAAAGGTATGTATCTAACTCCAAGGCGCTCCATACAACAAGAAACCATGTTGCTCGAAAAAACTTATTCTAACACTTGTTCGGTACAAATCAACCTTCGATTGCTTCTGCTCTACCATATTAATGCATTGGAATTGCAACTAGGGAACCACCAATAAACTCACCTCTCAAGTAAAGATTAGTGATGAAAGTGAAAAGGACACTCGAGCTGAAGAGTGCGAGGTAATAATGCCCCCGAAGAAAATTGAACTGAGAGCGAAGCGGTGGCGTTGCGGATTTCACCTAACCTTTGGAAGGCCGCGCTTTCAGTCTAGGGGTAGAACAGTTTGTGTTTCGTGGAAATGGTTTTCTCGATTTGTTTGGTAGTGTTGTGCCTCAGCTAGTCGTGCTGAGAGTCTTTGCGTTACTTTGGAAGCTTCTCTCGATAGGGTTCCGATGGGGGAGTTGACCACTTGGTCAGTTTTTGGAACATGTTTCGTGGACACGCTAAAGGTCCTTTTTTTATAAGCTTCTTGCAGCTTGTCTTAACCGTCTTGTCGCAGCTTTTCAGGTTTCAAATGATCTGGGAAGTTGGCATCACGATTTGCTGAAAAATTGTGGTGTGGATTCTATTTTTTAAAGTTTATTTAGTGCGAGACACTCAAAATCTATTGTTCATTTTTGCTAAAAAAAAAATCTGGTGGGCGCGTAAAAAGTCCACGGTGTTTCGGTCGGTAATCGAAGATATCAGAGAACCAGTCATGCACATCTTGAGACGCAACAACAGTGCCTATGCAGAGTGCCAAGCAAGACCGGTATTCTGTAGAAGACAGATATGGAGACGATCAAAGCGACTCAATATCGTGCGGCTGAATCTTTGTCGACTTGAACTAAGGTTCCATATCGTCTTCAGTAATCTTATCACAGTGCTTGGAAGATAGAACTTGGATGTTTTGGAAGTCATTTGTAGCGCCATACCCATAGGGACGATATTCAAAAGAGGTTATTAAAAAACCACTGATTGGTGACACTAGGACTAATTGTAAGCCCAGAAAAGGGGAGAAACGCCCGGGATAGCAAAGGTTGCTCACGTCCTCCCATTGAATCCCTTCTCCCTTAGGCTTAGCCCCAACTTTCTAAGTGGCTTACTCTCCTCCCGCGGACCCCGGCCCCCGCCGCCACCTGATGCAATGGAGCGCTGCTGTAAATCGTCAAAAATAAAAGATACATGCGAATATCAACTACGAATGTTGATCGAAAGCAGGAGCAGGTGCATCTTACAAGGGAAGGATGGTAGGTCGAAGTGGCCGTTTGAAATGAAATGTATACCTCCTGATGCGTCTCCAGACGCTGATTCCAAATCTGCCTTCCAAATCTGCTAAACGACTCTCCGAACGGAGTTATGAAGCGTAATAGCTCAGTGGTGATGGTCCGGGGTGGCAGGTAAAAGCTCGTAGGATCGGTTCCTTTGCAAGTTTGGTTGCTTTGCTTTTGTCTCTAGAAGTGTTGCGGACAAAAGCAAAGCAACAAACTTGCAAAGGAACCGATCCTACGAGCTTTTACCTGCCACCCCGACCATCACCACTGAGCTATTACGCTTCATAACTCCGTTCGGAGAGCCGTTTAGCAGATTTGGAAGGCAGATTTGGAATCAGCGTCTAGAGACGCATCAGGTGGTATACATCTCATTTATACGGCCACTTCGACCTACCATCCTTTCCTTGTTAGTCCCTACTTGTGAAAATATCCTTTGATAGGTGGAACTATAGTCCCATGCGCAAGGACTCATGCTTGATGTCTGACATAAAAGTCGTAAGACGGAATCTCCTCCTTTTATATCGCTCCATCGTTTAGTAAAAATCACTCTCAGAGCTTCTCGTGGTTTTGAACTATGAAGTGAATATCTTCAGGTAATTAAACTCCAGCCACATTTTTTACAATGTCATTTGAATTCAAAATACCGGGGAGCTTTTTGAAGAAAAAGACTGAGCAAGAACAGACTGGAGACAACGAATCGAGATCATCAGGTACGCTCGTTTCTTTCTTCTTCTTTTTTACTATAACTTTGAGCTTCAATGGAATACAGTTAGCTTACAGAATCCGCTCCTTCATTCAAACGTCAATTCCCTTCGAGTCGCTTGTTTGGGAATCTCACTCGCGGTGGTCCTACTTCTGTACAGAATCCAGTTCGCACGGAAGGTAGAGTGTTGTTTTTAATGAATTGGTCACCATGCTGAATCTAGACTTCAGAAACCCAGAGATAGACGATTTGCAGATTGGATCAGTGCTGAAGCGAGTAGTGAATCAGGTGGGTAAGGTCTTACGTTGAACGCGATAATGCTGCATGTGGTTTATGTTTATGGTTTCAATTTTTATTTTTATTCCTTTTTTCACGACTTTTTATCGTGTGTTGGTTAAATTTTTTATGCTTTTGTACAAGCTTGTATTTTATAGCAAATTCAGCTCACAAACACACTGAATCCAAAAACGATGACGGAGGAGGATCTGTCGGTAGATTCAAGCTGGTTCGAAATATTGAAAAGAACCTAAAGCAACCGAGTCGCATTGCCAGTTCGGCGACTGCTTCCGGTGAGGATCGTTCGCGGCCTTCGTCCATACTCCGTAAAAGAAGCTCAGGCAGCATAGCAAGCGCAGCAGCCGTTAAAAGAGCTACGAAGCTGGTTCGTGCTAAACGTTCTGTAAGCCGAGAAGAGACTTCGGACACAGACAAAAACGTAGGCTTTTTTGATGTTACATATATAGCCGCGTTGGAGAAATACGAGTTTTCCAGAGTGGCTCCAAATTTAGCGCTCTTTCTGGTAGCAGTCAGACGTTGTCGCAGTCGAATTCAACGTCCCCTCCAAGATTCAGAGCCACTCCGTACGCTGCTGAGTCTAAAACGGCTACTCGAGAAGAAGCTGTATTGCTAAGGTTTCTGTTTGCTCCGTTTAGCTAGTCAGTAAAGTGAAGTAGTGATATAATATTCCTGTTTTCCTTTAAGCATGAGTGCTGCTCCATATTCAGGTCTCTCCTGGCGCTTATTGGGAAGCATTGCCCGTCCGAATTTGACAAGTACCAAGTTCTGGAGGAAAGAGATAAATTGCTATCTAGATTGAGAGATGTAAGTCATATCCATAATGTTCACTGAATGTGATCTTTTTGCATGTTTCTGTTTCTTTTTGTTCGTTTCACACGAAATGAATTAAGGAAGAGAGTAAGCACATTTCTGAAAAAGGAAACAAGGTCCAGGGACTATGTCTAGGAATGTGCACTGAGAAGGAGAGGTTGGTGCTTCTTAGCTTAGCATCCTGTAGTAGCTATTGTTTAGCTATAACTATATTTATGGCTCATTTATTTTGTTGTGTTCAGATACGTTCGAGTGGTTCAGAAGAGAATATCCCCATATGAGTGCGGTCCCAGTGGACTGGAGCCGAATCGTCTCGTAAAAGTAGGCGCTAAGTTATAAGAATATTACCATTTTTCGTGTGTGCAGGAAAAGGGAAGAAAGGTGAAAGAGGGGGATCCAAATGTCACTTCT